AAGTATGCTGGAGTTATTATGTGCCGAAAAAGAGTGGCGGAAACCAGAATAATAATAATAAAGAATAGGATAACATAGTGCAGATGCTACAGCATCCACAAAATAATAAAGAACAAGATAACATAGTATGGATGCTTCACAGCATTCACACAAAGAACAGGATAACAGTGTGGATGCTGTGAAGCATCCACACAACTAGAGAAATGCATTTCCTGTCAAAAATGTGTGTGGATGTTGTGTGCTGAAGGATCGCCCTGAAAATGCTGAACATTTTGACCCATGAAAGGCATATTTACCTGAAAGTATGCTGAAGTACAATTTTCCCATTAATTTGAATGGGGGAAATTTGTCAAAATAAAACTAAATATTTCAAAAGTATGATGTTTAAAAAAATTCTGCAAAGATGCATGAATGCCCTGAAGGAGCTAAACATTTTGATACCTGAAAGTATGCTGATTGTAGAATTTCCATATTCTTTTGAATAGGGACAAACTTTCAAAATAAAGCTATACATTTTAAAGGTATAAGGTTTAGAAAAATCCTTAAGACAAGCATGAATGTACTTGAGGGGCTGAACATTTTGATACCTGAAATAGCTGAAAGTATGCTGAAGTACAATTTTCCCATTCATTTCAATGGGGCACGATTTTCAAAATAAAGCTAAATATTTAAAAAATATGAAGTTTAGAAAAAATTGTGAATAGAAGCATGAATGTCCTTGAGGAGCTGAACATTTTGATACGTGAAATTCTGCTGAAGTAGAATTTCCCCCATTCATTTCAGTGGGGCATGATTTTCAAAATAAAGCAAAATATTTCAAAAATATGAAGTTTAGAAACATCTTGAAGAGAAGCATGGATGTCCTTGAAGAGCTGAACATTTTGATAGCTGAAAGTATGCTGAAGTAGAATTTTCCCATTCATTTGAATGGGGCAAAATTTGTTGAAAAATGCTAAATAGTTAAAAAAGTATAAATGTTACAAACAAGAAAAATACAAGCACACATGTCCTTAAAAAGCTGAACATTTTGATAGCTCAATAGCTTTTGTAGCTCAAAGTATACTGAACTTATTAAGAATGAGAAAATATCCCTACTGGTCCCCAAAAAGTAGGTAAAACATGTAGGGTTGTGTGTGTGTGTGTGGGTGTGTAGGTGTTTGTGTGTATGTGGGTATATGAGAATGAAAGAGTAGTCCTACACCCTGAGGATTACTAGGGTGTGGCTATGGAAATGAGGTATAAAATATAAACAGTATGCAAAAACTGTAAAAGATATCAAAACGCAGTGTACATTATGAATAGCTAAAGAGTTGCTGAATAGATAACAGTTGAAATGGTGTTTTTAGCTGAAGGTATGCTGAAGTTATTAAGATGTGGAAATTTTTCCCATTCATTTGAATGGGGCAAAATGTGTTGAAAAATGCAAAATAGCTGAAAAAGTATAAATGTTACAAACAAGAAAAATACAAGCACACTTCCTTAAAAAGCTGAACTTTTTGATACCTTAATGACTTTTGTAGCTGAAAGTATACTGAAGAAATTAAGTGCAAAAAAATGGCTACAGCATCCACACAATAATAATAATAAATAAAGAACAGAAGAGCATAGTGGACAATAATGGACAGGTGAACACAATGAGTGGTGATTGCAGACCAGAGTAAAGCTGGGGCAGGTGAGGTGACACAGGACAGGATGTCTAACCAGAATTAAATCACTAAAAAGGAAGCAAGTCCACAAACCATAACATTTCTAGATCCACCCCTGGTAATAGTAATAGAAGTTTTCTAGTTTTTGTCATGTAGACTGCAACAAATGTGGGGATATTTATTTATATTTTGCGGGTCATTTTTGGCACTAAGCAGTGAAATTGCATGTGTTCATATTTATTAAGGAGTCACATTTGGGTTTTGCAGTGGAGAAACAGGAGAAATGCAGCACCACAGGAATTTGCACATTTGGTCTCATGCAGTATGTATTTTAAGGTGCTACCACAGTAAACTTGTACTTTCTTCTAGTGTGCAATGGCACAAAATCCTCACACAGTTGAACAGTCATCTAAATTTAAGAGCAATAAAGTACTAATAGACTTGTATTTACCTTGTGTAACCCCTAAAAACACTGCATGGTGTACTGCTAAAACAGACATGCATAGTGTGGACAAATCATCCTTTTAAAAGGCCTCACACTCTTCCCACAAACTTATTTTTTCTATAGTCAAAACTGAGTCACATACTACTATGACTTTTCATGTGCTGATCAAACTTTATTCTGGTTCATGGCTGACAACAAAAAAAGTTGGCATGGTATTTAGAGCAATAGCTCTGAGAAAATATCGAACCAAAACCTCAAGAGCGTTCTTCTGGATGTTTACAGACAGAGGGAGACCATTTTACTTTGAGACTGTTTTGGGTTAGCATGGACTGACCAGGGGGGCACTTGGGTGGGAAATAATACTAGACTGGAAGGACAAATTTTGTCTGGTGTAGACAGGAGGTGAGTCACTGGGATGGGTTTGACTTGAGTGGGTTTGTTTTGATCCTAGCTGGAATTTGCTTTGGATATTGCAGGGTGACCATGGCTCTAGTTTTTTAAGAAGGGCTGGACATTTACTGTTGAACAGCTGTGATGTGGTAAAGATCTTTGCTGTACCAAATATGGTTTAGATGGTTTGTGGGCAGTTCACTGATTATAGAGCGAAGTAAGGAGAACAAATGATTTTGAAAAGCTGTTTTTTACAACAAAAGTTCCATCAGCTTGTTTTACAAGATGGCATTTACTTCTGTTATAGTTTGAATGGCATGAAGTTTGAGGTGACCTGAGACCAACAGGAGGTTACAGTGTATATAATATTTCATTGTTGAAGCCTTCACAATGACAGCAGGCATGCACCTAATAGCAAAGCCAGCCACAAGAGGTACGTAGCTATCATAATTGTACCACTACTGCTACTGATCAAGGCAGGGTTTGTCGGTTACAGTAGATGAGCTGACATATATTAAGTAGAAAGTGAAATGTACTGTATGTTGTCCTTTATAATATGCCATGTTTTACCCACTGAGCTGCACAGGAAGGGTACAAGTGGATCACAGTCTCAACCACCTGTGCTAGACTGAGTGACTTAGCCTGAGATGTTGTTTCTGGGTCTACTGAAAACCCCTCTCCAAAGTTTCTATTTAAGTCTAGTCTGGTGTTTGGATTGGCCATGTGTCTCACCATGTGTCCAAACATGTCCCTCATCAGCTACACAGTTATGCAACACAGACACAAGAACACAGCTTTGCAGTTGATTTACAGTATCAAAGAATATGGACAGACAAACATATAAATATAGCGAAAGAAGAAATACACAAATTGACAGCATATAGCTGAAAATACCAGTTCGTCCCATTTCTGTTGAGTTTGAAGTAACAGCTCACTATAGATGTATTATTGCATGTGACGGCTGCCGTCAAACTTTTATGTTGGCTTCATTTGAGAATTGATAATTGGACAGTTGACGGACTGGAAAGTGCAACCCCAGATACATTATCAGTTGTTTCTGTTTGTAGTTCATGCAGCGTCATACTTATTCAGAATGGAACAATACCATCTTTAATGTCAGGCTTGTTCCACTGTGTGAGAGATTGGAAGAGGGCTGCAGTTCGGTTAAACTGAGTCAGTCTGCAAAAGTCTCACTCTCTCTCTCTCTCTCTCTCTCTCTCTCTCTCTCTCTCTCTCTCCCTCTGTGTGTGTGTGTGTGTGTGTACGCTGTTTCTTGGCAGACCTATGGGCCATTCCTTTTTGTCTCTGATCACACAAGAGACCCATGACTCACTTATTTTACAATACATGTGGACACACACACACCCACACACAGATATACAGTAATTAACAGGAGCAGGAAGCCCAGAACAAGCGGCTGAGTGGCAAAAAACATGATATCATCATTATTCAGCTATAAATATTAAAATTTCCAGATTTGGAGTTTTTCTATTTGTGGTTGGTGACAGTTTGGCAGCACAAATGGCAAGTAGGCTTGGATGCAAAAAAGATTGAAAACAACACATATAGTAGGCAGTAAATCATGTCTGGCTATTAACTATAAGGCTAATGCCTGCAGTCAGTTTAACTAAGCTTACACATGTGCCATTGCACACACAGTATGCACACAGATATTGCCTGTTGCTATCATTCAGTGTCAGCCCCTCACAGACCAGTAAAAGTAAACACAGGGTAGAGTAACAACAGCGACAGTGGTCAGTGGAGAGATGAGGTTGTTTCACCTTTTTGATCAAGTCTAACTGAAAGAGTTGTATCATAACTGAGCAGTTTTAGAGGAAATTGTGGAATTTGACCACTGCATAAGTGATATTATTCTCATACATATGTGGCTAATATTTCAGTTAAATTTGTACATACAGAGCTGTATATGTCAGTGTACAAACATGAATGTGAACACAAAAAGGCATTAAGGCCTGTAATGTGAACATATAGTAGCTGAAGAAACACTGGAAACATGCCATTGCCTTTACCACTTTTGCCAAATAAATATAATCATCTAAATTTCAGGTCAATGCACTTAGCTGACAGGTTTAATGCACCTTTCTGTATCCTTATAATGCTCAGCTGACATGTTTCTGATGAATATGAGCACTGTATTTGAAAACACAGACTAGCACTCAAAATGTGTATTAATCTGCAGCTGAAAACAGTCCCTGACAAATACATTATTTACTCTTGATTGAGTATCTGTTTAAACCAGTAATATCATTTGTACCTCGGGAACTAGTACAACAGTGTATTAGTCAATCAGACTTTTTATGCAAAATGTCCTCAAACCATAAAATAGCTCACCTGCAGCTTTTGTTGCAGCTTGTCATCAGCTACAGTAAATAAAATACCTAAACTGCAAGTATAATGCAAGTGTAATTGTGAATCAAATTATGTGAACTAGACACTGATGTCTTTAGAAAATTCACTTCCCTCTCTCTCTTCCTATGTTTCTTCTTTCATACACACAGCTGTGACCGGCCTCCTGTGTTTTGTCACACCACTCATCTAATAGTCCTCCAAGGCTGACCTGATTATCAAAAGGTCTTCCTCTCCTCTTTTTCTTGCATCATGCATCTACTCACCATGCTCCTCGTCTTCCTGCTCCTCCATTCAGCTGAGCCCAGGAGAGGCCCTCGTTCAGGGGCTGCGGAGAGGGGCAAGGCAGGACATGTACGTGGTAGAGGCAGGGCTGGGCTCAACAGGCGTCAAACTCAGGAGTGTAAGGAATACATGGAAGCAGGAGAGAAGTACCTTGACTGTCAGGACAGGCAGCTGACCACTGTGATGCAGGACTGGCCCAAAGATATTCACCACCTGCTGCTGGCCAGAAATAAGATTCAGGTATGTACAAACAATTTACATTTGCATAGTGCAACTATAAAGAGGTAATACAGACCAGCTGTTATAAAATATAACTCACAATTCTGTAGCAAATTCAATTTTCTGCAAGTTAATATCTCACTTAATATCTTACTCTGAACCTAAACTCAGCCAGCTTGTTGATATAATGTGCATCTGTGCACCATTCATTTGGAGCCAAGATCAAAGACAGACTTTCCTGCTGTGTGTATGTGTGTGTGTGTGTGTGTGTGTGTGTGTGTGTGTGTCAGTCTTCCCACTCTCATTAACCTGCAAGGCAGCTGCTTTCAGTGAAAAAAGCCCTTTGCCCAGCACCCAATGGCTAACAGTCAAATTTAGCAACTAGCTGGTGAACATGGTAGAATGCTGAGCAGCTAAATAGACAAACATGAAGTATTACACCTGATTGGATGAAAGCACTAAACACAAGGCACTCCCTGAGCTTTGCTTTCAACATGTAAAGTAGCTAAGCCTGCAAGCATTTAAGGCAAAACATATGTATAGATAAGCTTCATTTTATCGAGTAGTTGAGGTAGCTACTGTTATTTGGTCATTTTAAAGGACAACAAATCAACATGTCTTGTATTTCATAAATTGGCCCAAGCATCCAGCTGGGCTTACCTGATTCTCAGTTAATGTTTACCAGACCCTAATTTCACAGTTCAGGAAAATAAAAACATTTATTTTCACTAAAACTAGCTCAGTTTTAGTTTAGATAGCCATCATCACTGGAACACAGGGTCTTCATCCAGTATTTAATGCTCTCCATTAGACCATTGCTGAATAAATGAATGAAAGAATGTACATTACTTGTCATTGCAGACCTTCTATATTTTTATGTTTCATGAAATAACCTTTCAAGTTTTCAACTTCCCTGTGAAAGTGTACATTTTTAGGTGTGGCTCACAAATAAACCTTCATAAAAGCATATACAACTTCAAAAAGAAAAAAAAAGTAAATTTAAAGCAAAAACTAGTTTTTAAAGCAATGTTACTCTTACATTTGGTATGCTAGTGAGTTTTTACAGCAAGATGTGGCAACAACTCAGAATATATTCAACTTACTGAAGGAACACATCAGCTGTAGTTCACTGATGTGCTTTTAAATAGTTTTTGGACAACACTAGAGCTCAGTGCTACAGATTAAGAAGTAATATACTATACTACACACAACAGAAAATATGTAATGGCAACAAAACCACAAAAAATCATCACTTGATATCTTTCCTATCCATCAGGTTTTGAGGGAGAACATGTTCTCCCAGTTCACTCAGCTAAAGAGCCTGGACCTCCAGCAGAATGACATCTCCATGGTGGAGGGTGGCGCGTTCAATGGCCTCTCACAGCTCACCACCCTGCTCCTTCAGCACAATGGACTGAAAACAGCCTCCGAGGAGGCCCTGCTCCCTCTGCCCCGCCTCACCTACCTCCGTCTCTATGACAACCCCTGGAGCTGCCACTGCTCATTGGACAGCCTGATCAGGATGCTACAGGTGCCTAGCAAACGTAACCTGGGCAACTACGCTAAGTGTGTGGAGCCCCTGTTGCTGAAGGGCCAGAAGCTGAAGAAGCTGAACGTGGACTTGCTGTGTGACAATGAAGTGGATAGGAGGCCAGACGACAGAGAGCCGGGGCGACCGAAGCCTCCACCAACCAAGGTGAAGCCAGAGGCTACGTCCATGTGTCACACCTACATGTTCCCTAAGCCCCTGCTGGACTGCAGCAATAAAAGTAAGACAATATCAAGCTCATTATTTTTCTAACTTTACTTTGTGATGTTGCATTAAAACTGAGTCTACTAATATGTTTGGTTCTAGCAGATGAATCCTAATAATGTCAGATTTTATCTCTGTTGGCCTCACATGCACCGACTAGTCCTCATCCCAGTGTGATTCTTGAAGAAAATAGAGACAAATCCAAGGGTTAAATTGAAACAACCTGAACACAGGATGGCATTACGTCACAAAGAACCAGTTTGTCTTTCTGCATCAGAAATGGTTCATTTGCTGCCAAACAACTGAAATCAACCAGGGTCCTATATGTTTAGCTGCATATTATTTAATGGCTGTCATGTGTGACAAAATATATTTTCCTTTCAGTTACAAATTGACTGCCTTGGCAGAGGAATAATTTATTTTAAAGGTACAATTTGTTCGGCTTGATCTGCAGCTGAGAGTCACGCTCACTTGTCCAGTGACACTGGGCATGAAAATGACTTTTGCTTTCTAATGTTTGGGTTACAGCTAGGCTAAGCAAGCATAGACATATTTGTTTTGATCATTAATCCTCATAGAAAGATTAGGCTGGTACATGGTCTGTTCACTCAAAAGTTCTAAATTTGTTTCCCTGAAGTAGTACACTGGAGCTCTTATTTTAAAGTTTGAGAGAAAGTTTAGGTTTTCGAGCATAAATTACAAATTTGGTCATGGACATATCTTTCATCTTTCATTTTAGTTGGCCCATGTCAAACTAAAAGGATGCGAGAGAAGGGGGTGCTTCTCAAACTTCCCTTCAGTGTCTCCAGAATTCACATCTGGTTCTGTTCCTGTGTAAAAATGCCAATTTGAAAATGTTGTCATAATGTCTGTAAGTTCTCCAGTGTTTCATAAAAGATTTTGTTTCAGTGTTGCTTTTCAAAGTTGCAGAACTATTGGTTACTTCGATGTAGGTTCTTGATACTGTCGCTCTTACCTCCTCTTTTTAAACTCCTCACTCTGACAGTTAAAGCCCTTTATCTCTGTCTGCTTCAAAGCACTAAACCAGTCTGAAAGAGTGAAAAAAAAAACAGAAGAATCACATTTAAATGAGCAACTGAGTGCATCTATAAATGGAGAGCTTATGCCCTTCAGAGAAGGCAATCTTTCACAGAGCCAGAACCACACAATGCAGTGCCTGTGTTGCATAAATACTCAAGGAAGCTTCTGGCATATTTCCCTAACTATTTTTTTTCTACTGTACAACTTTTGAATTGATTCTTTATCTGCAGCACATTGAGGTTTTCTCACAGGCTGATTCATCTCTCCACTTTCTTCCCCTCTTTTTTAAATATCCAGTTGTGACTCACTCCATCCTGTCTCCTTCTAAACCATGACCCATCGTGAAAGTGATATATGATGTATGAATGCTGCTTAATATATTACAGCTGTTGTGCATGACACTCAATACTGTACATGGTTTCTATGCTTTTGACTTGAAAGGATGCCCATAGAGTTGAACTGCAAGCTGATGCCAGTTGAAGTTTGTTATTTTCAATGCAGTAGATTCAAGCTACAATATTTTAATTAGTTGCTTTAGCTGTTAATCAGTGTGAAATCTGATCATAGATAGACTAAATGACCTTATACTTTTATAGCGTTTTTCTATGCATTGCAGCACACTCATAGTGCTTTCACACTATTTGGCCATTCACACTTTCAAATTCATGCACCTGTGACATCACCAGCAGCAACTGGGGGTTCAGTGCCTTCCCTAACAACACTTTGACATATGGACTGGACAAGCCAGGAATCGAGCCACTAGGCTTCTGGTCAGGAGATGACCCGTTCTACTTCCTGAGCCACAGCTGCCCCACTAAATACTCTAGAATGTGACTAATGAATGGCACATTATTATTTCCTTTTTGTCTGAAGAGCATATAATTGGGCCAAATCTGTGTTGTTATGACCTTGAAAATGTTGGGCTGGGAAATATAACCATACACATGCTGTATTTCATTCTTTTAGGCTGGGCCCACAGTAGAATATTTTCTAATCTTAAGCAATTTTAAAAATGTGAGGGGCCACAGACATAATAACAGCTTTAACAGATTTGTTCACATTTTAGTCTAAAGAGCGCACACACTAGATGATTAAGTCATGAGGCAGGACCACACACTTGCCGTTTTACTGAACAATTTCAGAAACGCCAATTCCGGGGATGAGGGATCTTGCAGAAACTCGTGATCAAATGTGACTTCAGACATAACAAAACAAACATGAAGGCGGACATTTGCTCACCAAGCAGTGGCGCTCATGTGCACTATGTTTTGTGCAGAGAAAAAAAGGAGAAAAAAACTGTTTATGAAATCAACTCATTTTACAGATTTTGAAGTGCGAGCTGGAGGTGAGTTGGAAATAAAGAAATGAGGAAAGCTAGTACAAGCTAATGCTACAAGCTTGTGACACTTTCCAGCTCGTTGTCATTGGTTGTTGTGGGTGTCTGGTCAGGATTCACTGTTGCCCCCACACTACAGGGTTCCATCTTTCCATCTATCATCCCTCCATCCATCCATCCATTACCTATACTGCTTATTCTGAAGAGGGTCCTAGGAGGGCTGGAGCCAATCCCAGCTGACACTGGACAAGAGATGGGGTACACTGTGGACAGGTTAACAGTCTATCACAGAGCTGACAGAGACAGACAACCATACACACCCATACTCACTCCAAGGGACAATTTAGAATCACCAATCAACCTAAGCTGCATGTCTTTGGACTGTGGGAGGAAGTCGAAGTACCCAGAGAGAACCCACACAAGCACCACTGTGTCACCATGCTGCCCACTACAAGATTCCAAGTCGCAAGTATCAAACATGTTTGATACATAATCTGGTCGCACACTACAAGATACTTAGTCCAATTTTGGGCCTGATTTGCCCTTCCCAGCAATCATGGGGGTGTTCCCCGAAGTAATTCTTGGGCTATTGATCCTGTGACATGAGGTGTTGAATGATCTAATCGTTATGCCTCAGACAGGATCAGAGGGCCCCCGATCTTGAATCATAAATATCAAGCATGTTTGATATTTACAACTTGGAATCCTGTAGTGTGGGGGTGACAGTAATTAAATCCAGACCAGACACCCACAACAGCCAATGACAGTAAGCTGACTGGGAAGCGTGACAACTGCTAGTAGCATTAGCTTGCACTAGCCTCCTCATTTCTTGATTTCCAACTCACCTCCAGCTCATGCTGCAAAATGTGTAATCCGAGTTGATTTAATCTTCTCAGCCAAGACTACATCCACAGTTGTTCTCCTCTTTTTTTCACTGTGCAAAACATAGCACACATAAGCACTACTGCTTGACAAAAAAATGTCTGCTTTCACGTTTCATCACGCAAGTTTCTGTGAGATCTTGGTCCCTCGAATCTGAGTGTCTGAAATCATTCAGTAAAACCAGCTAGTGTGTGATCCTGCCTCTTGACTGAATCATCTAATGTGTGTGCTCTTAAGATTAAAATGTGAACAAATCTGTTAAAACTGTTATTGTGTCTGTGGTCCCTCACATTTTTAAAATTGCTTAAGATTAGAAAATCCTCTAGTGTGGCCTCAGCCTTATGATTCAGGATCGGGGCCCTCTGATCCTGTCGTACGCATAACAGTTAGGTGGTTCATTACTTCACACTACAGGATCATTTGGCCCAAGAATGGCTTCTAAGCAGCCTTATGTTGAAATTGACCTAAATATACTGTAGTGTGGGGCTAGCTTCTGTTAACCTTCATCATTAAATGTATCTTAGGAGGCCCTGTCTCTTGTAGATTATGTTGAGTCAGTACGTTATCTGGAGTGAGCAGTGCTTTATTTATAAAATCAATAAATCATACTCCATAATAAAGTACCTGTGATGAAGTTCCTCAGAAGATATTTTGGCCAGCACTTTGCGACTAACTCCACCAGTGGAGAAAAGTGTTCACACACAACCACAGTATTAGAGTACTATTTCTTGCTGATACTGTACAAATTTGTAGTCCGCCACCATGAGTTTTACTGGATAGCAATAATTTCCTGTCTGATCAGTAGCAAATTAGCCCACCCAGCTGGATGGCCTTGTCTGGAATTCTGCTGTGTCGTTTAAAGAATGAACTATTATAACCACCAACTGCATGAGTAAAACACAGTCTAGTACAGCACTATCACTAAGGCTTATATAATTACAAGATAAAATCAACACTTTTATAGCAAAGCTGCAACACAACTTAACATTATATGGTTATGATTTACTACAGAGTTCTTTACCATTTTTTTATTGATATATATATA